CACAGTTTTGCTCAACTACGTAAGCTCCTCATAATTTAATTTTAAATCACATTCGAGGAATTGAATCTAATTACCCTGCCTCAAACAAATCAGCTTCTGAAAGGGAGACTTGTATAAGGCAATACACACATATTTCAATAATTCATCGATATTGTGGATGCTTCTAACTTTGGAATTTTCAATTACTGAAATGCAATGTCTTCATGAAGTTCAGTTTCCCGTAAACGTCTACATTTGCGTTGTTTCATCCCATCAAGGTTATGGCCGTGAATAATGTAAAGAAATTGGTTTACTCGAGTTCCTGTACAATTTACGGTAATCCCGCTAAGCTGCCCTTGACCGAACAAGCTGAGACTGGTAACTGTACCAATCCATACGGCTGGACCAAATATATCGGGGAATTGATGCTCCAGGTAAGACTAAGATCTTGTTTAAATTCATTAGACTTTCGCTGGTCAGTTATCGCCTGAAGTTTGTCTGTCAGTGCATTTTTGTGTGGTTGATTCATTGCGGACTAAAAAGAATTTTTCGCACCTGGGTTCTGAAAACTCACCATTCATCAAAGAACCTTTACGTTTACGTGATTGTTATCTCTGAGTTACTGGCGTCGACTAGGCACCTGTTGTTTAACGCAGCGTTTCGTTATACCTGTCATGGAATGCGACAATATCAGATGGACAGTTACCACTGAGTTTCCGGCTGCGAGCTAACTCTCAACTTATTTCATGGTCCTAATGATTTCATGACTTCAAACCGACGCAATGAAAGCAGACCAGGTTTAAAAAAATGGAAGTAGTGACTCACAATTTGTGACGCAACACACACCGACCTGACCTTTGATTTTACCTGGAACTACTTACACAGTTTAGTAAACTTCTAATAATGGTAGTTGCGCTTTTTTACATCAAATTGTTGATAGCATCATGTCTACGATCCTTAACATTTGCACCTAACGTCATTCCCTTTATTGGATTGAAAATTGGGCCAATTCAGTCGTGTGCTGATGAGTTAACCTGAAAGTGGTCAATACGTTTAGTATCTAGCATTTAGTCTTCGATAATGAGGCATCGTAAAGGGCCTGACGGTGTGACGATGTGGTGTATCGACTCCCTCTGTAGCTAACTGTGTGCATACCGTGTTCCTTCTTTTCTTCACAAGTCTAACCAACAAGGAATTGCTCATTTTAGGATCTTGCGAATTCGGACCCCGAGTGGTCAGTGATAAACCTGCGTTACTTTAACCCAGTTGGAGCTCATAAATCGGGTCTTATAGGGGAAGATGCGGGATCCTGCCCGAAGAACATTTTCCCTTGTCTTACGAAGACGGCCTATGGCCGTATGCCTGAGGTTCTGGTATTCGGAAACGACTACAACACCCCGGACGGCACAGGTAAGCGTCATGGCCAGTCCTGAAATTCGATCGGAAAGCCCGTTCTTTTAATAATTGTGCACACTTAATGCCTTAGACCCATTTCCAACTCACAAATTTCGGATCATTATCATCAAGGAAATGTTTCTGAGTCGAAATAAGAGCAAATCCATAATTTGTTATGGGTTGGTGGGCTCACCATGTTCAGCTTTAATAAAGTAAGATTTTAACTTACGAAACCAACGTGTCTGGGTGATAGTGCGTGCGTCTCGCTTACTGGGGGTGTCACCTGGCCGGGCACCATTGAGTCTGGGTAGGGTGATGAGGTATGTTCGATAATTTATATATGGTGGCTTAGACGCGTTGTAAACGGTCTATTCGGTTTGGGAAATAGATCACAGGCTTGCCATACCAAATACTGGTTCGTTTGTCAGAATGCAAGCGTTCTAGGTCAATTAAATCAAATGGACGCGACAGATGGAACTATTCTCCGTTGCATAGTGTAGACCAACCATTAAGACACACAGATAAGGAAAGGTTTTTCGTCGAGGTGCACTCTCGAGGCAAGTAATCCACTGCTACAACACAAATCCCTTTTTAAAAAGTTGAACCGTTTGAGATGATCAAGTAAGAGAATCGGACTGTTCGAATAAAGGAAAAGAGGAGAGGTCGGCGCAGTCGGATGCTGTATGTTGAGCTCCCCGAATGGAGTTGGGGCTCCTTGGACATAATGCACCTTTTTATAGTTATTTATCCGGCCGGCATCTCTATTCAATGGACACACTTTTTTATGGCTTCTCATGGAATCCTTTACTGGCCTAACCGTGACTTTTTAAGTGAAATCGTTGTCTTGCGTGCATCTCTGAGTATGCGATTTGACCTCGACGTTTGTCAGTTGCTAGCAAAGAAGTCACCTGATGTGTTATTGTACCTGAGTTCACGGCCCCAAATGACTGGACTATGTTGTAGGTAAGTGTAGCAGCAATTGTGTTCTTCTGATCAGACCAGACCGTTAGTCTCGGTGTGGTCTGAAAACTACACCGGGACCTCCACACAACCATTGATGGCACTTTAGGCATCAATGGCGTCCTCTAATTGCTGGTATCCAATGTCCTAGTTCAATTTGTCTGTTGAATTAGTGGTGCTACTTAATTTACAGACGCCTGAAAAGTGCTATGACGACAGTAAAATCAGGTGTTTTATTGTAATCAGTAGATGTGAACTCAATAACCTTTCTCCCATGCCTGGTACTCCACCGAGAAAAGTGCATTTAATGTGTCAACGAACTAGCAATCTTACAAAGAGGTCTCATGGTATCCTTAATGTTTCTACTAACCTCCGTCTCATACTGAATGTATTGAAATTGGCATAATTTTTGCAGATGCTTTTCTAGTTGCCAGAACCGTTATGTGCCTTTTTTGACTTTCTCTCTGGTGCTCTGATGTATCGCTAATGATGATCCACGCCAAGGCTCTGAGTAAAAGCTCGAGTCCAGTTAGTCAGGTTAGGAAATAGTCGTCTTTTATGTTTGACGATGTTTCTCCGCATAGTTAAGTAGGTTATTTATCAGTGAATGGCATCTGCAAAACAACGTGGGATAGCGTTTTGACATATAGTAAAATGGATATTGGGCCTATGGTATCACAGGTCTCCTTCATAAATTTATGTGGTTGGCTTATGCACTTTAACAAGCGACTTCTCTTTGTTAATCAGTCACTTCTTTAAAGGCATACGGGACTACGTTCACGTTGTGGATCTCTCAAAGGGTCACGTCTCTGCCATGAAGCATCTTGACACGTTCAAAGGATGTAAGGTACGTCGTGCCTTTCAAGTGATACAAGTTTTGAATGAACCCGAGTTAAGTGCAATCCCACAGTAAATGGCAGCCTAAATATAAAATAGTGTGCATTTTATATCGATTTAATTATATGTTGACCCGTTAGTTAAATTAGTAAATTAGCCTGACAGAATCTGGCATTCAACTCCGACGGCAGCTTAATAACCCTGCTTGAAATTAAAATTGGCACCAGTCTATAAGTCAGCCAGTATCTATCAGTTGTCTTTAAACTGTGCGTCTATAATAAATACGTGCTTTTAAATTCCCTTCTGTATATTGTCTTGAATGGTTAATGCCGTACCCTACGTCATCTCACATTGAACCGACTTAAGCGGATTTGATCGAAAGAAAAGAACTGGGATTGGTCTGTTTGTGACAGAAAGCAAGTATCTTGGCGCTGCTGTGTTGTCCTCT